TCAATACAAAATTGTTGCAATTTTCTTCTTCTTCTTCCTTTCTTCTATATATTGTATATTGTAGAGAATACATATTATTTTTGCACTCATTTTGAAACGCCACTTTGTAATTTTTAATTATATATCTCCAATTCTTTAGAACTATATTTTTTTTGTAAAAATATTATTATTTTATTTCAAAGTTTATCCTAACCAAATTAGCTTTTACGTCATTTATAAATAAATAAATGATTAGTTAAACATTTTTGTGGAGTTGAAGACTAAATCAGGACTAGTCTGTTTTTTCAACTAACTTCATTATAACAGAATAAATAATAAATATATTAAATAGGTTTTGTGTATAATAATATTATATATATATATATATCAGTGGTGTATAAAAAGACTTATTTAAAGAAAGATCTTTAAGAACTATTTCGAAATTATTATTAGATTAGATTACATTTTAAACGGGTTGCAATTTGCACCACGTCAATGCATCCTTTGAGGATTATTGTGCCAAACCTACTTCAGTTCCACAGACGAGTTGCAGTTAAAAACGCTATTATGTCCTTTGGAGAGATGTTGCCTAATTCTGTTATAGATAGATTAAGGCAATTGATAAGTACAGAACTCTGAGTCTTGCAAGACTATCACAATAACACAGAATGTGTTTTGCCGTTTCCATTTTTTCGTAACAAAGTCTGAAGCTATCGTCTCTTGTAATACCTAGGGTCGATAGAAGCTTTTTTATACCGCAATGTCCAATAAGAAACCCTGTAACACGTCGGATACCATTTCTGTTCAACATAAGAAGCTCCCTTGTTCTGGCTTTTGATCGATTCGGCATGAATTCTTTAGCTTGGCAATTGCATTATCCCAATCAGTCTGATGTTTATTAATGTTACGTTTGAAAAAGCTTCATAAAGTACCACAGAATGGTTATGGCTCAACCAAAATCAAATTTGCTCAAAATTGTTGTAAAAATTATTTAATTAAAAAAATTTGATATTTGTAAAGTAAAATGGTCATATGAAATTATTTGATTTAAAAAATTTAATATTTGTAATATAAAACGGTTCAAAATATTTTATGGCGGTTGAACTCTAAAACCTTTTGTTATGTACGTCATTAATCCGAATTCAAATTTAAACCAATCTATGAGCAATATTTTTCGATGTTAGTAGAAATAAAGATTATTTATTAATCAATGAAGTTCTGTGTCTAGGTTTATAGGTTTGAATTTTAAGTATATAACTTCTTTAATTGTTTCCTCCATATATTATAGATACTTCTATAATCACTGTAACTCATTCCCAAACTTCAAAATTATAAAAATTGTAGTTTTGAATCTGTAAACCTAGACTTTATACTTTATTTTTCATTACAAATGCCTCTCGATGAAAATATATGAATGACAATTCACTAAAAGCACATTTATCTATAATTGCCATATTTTATAGTACATATCAAAACATTGTTTACTAATTTACTACTAACTGTAATGATAAAATATTTTTTTCAAACATTTAAAAAAAAAAATTTCATAATTCTATAACAATTATAAGAGATAAAAATATATTTATTAATTTTTGTTTCTTATGTATCCGGAGGGTTTTCCCGTATAATGACAAACACGGTTTCATATCCGCTAATTGCAAATTAAACATGAGACATATGTTGCGTTTCGAAATTTTATTTTAATTAAAGAATTTCTAGTTCGTTTCTTCTATACGTCGATATTTATTTTTAATTTGATATAATTTTAAATTCATTTTCATACTATTTATGACGTACTTGTTTACATATACGTAGGTGTTTCAAAACAATTCTTAATTTGGGCACAACTTTTGAGCCAATCATTTTAATAACTGCTAAGCCGATTAAATACAAAAATCTTTTCTATACATAACTTTTATTTAATTATTTTTAATGTACTCAACATTTATTTTGATGTGTGTTTGACACAAAAATAACTCTTGCCTCGCCTTCACTCTAAAGCCACGAAATCTGCAAAATACGTCCACTGACTTTATATGAAATAATTTTTTTTAATAAACATTCAAGTTACAAGATACAAAATACATTTATTTAGACTTATTTGTTTATTGAAAAGATTTAATATGCAACATGCTGTCAGTATTTATGTATATAATTAAATATTTTGTTTGATTTTGCTATATTGTGACGTCATGAACATCATTAAGTCACAAAATCTCAACATTTTTGTTTATAATAAATAAATTATTGTTTATATTCACCGAAAATACAAAAAATCATTATTTACATACTCTGAGGGAATTCCTTGATATTATTGTATTGGGTGTATGCTACGTTTTATATACAATAAATATAAATAAATAAAATATATTTGTTGTGTGCAATGAACAAATAAAACAAGCTTATCTATTGATTTTAATAAAAACATAGAAATGCTATTAAACAGATTGCAAATTAATTGAATCAGCGAACAATACAAATATAAAAATCATAGTATACCATATTTGCCGACAGTGTAGCCCGCTCTTGTGCTTCCCTGAATGTGACCCTGGCGGTACCAGTTTATATTACCATAGAGTCCATTAACAGAAACACCTTCTTCTACTTTCTGCAACTTGCCAATAACAGATGGAAAGCACTTAAGTCATGTGCAACCTCCAGGGTAACATGGCCCACCTATATTAAAAATAGATTCTCGCAACTCATCAAAAGAGACCGCGTGAACACTGCAAGGTTAACTGCAGTTCTTTCTGGTCATTGGTGTTTAGAAACCCACGCAGAGAAACTGTACATTTCTCATAATCCTAACTGCAGAAGTTGAGGAAACCCGCAGGAAAAAGAAACCATTAGACATTTCTCTGTGAATGCCCGGCTTTTGTGTCCAAAAGATATAGGTTCTTAGGAAGATACTTCTTTCATAGTTTATCAAACTATTCGTCGGTGAAGATAAAAGATCTATTAAATTATTTAAATTCGGCGGGATGGATTTAGTCTTTACTCTTCTATACTAGGGTTCTTGCGGGGAATGTGGTAGCAAAACGTCGCAAAATCGCTAATTGAAGTATCCATTGCAACCAACCAACCATCCATAACATCTTTGTTTAAAGGATATAAAAAAGAATAAACTAATATTTTTATAGTTTTTATTGGAACAAATGCTAATTTTAATCGGTTGTTGACTATGCATTATTATTAAATATTAAAGACTTTTTCTTGCAGAATGTGTTCTTAATATTTCACAATATTAAGGAAATAGGAGAAAAATTAAAATAACGATATCCTAAGATCTATAAAGTTTTAATGTTTATTTATAAAATATTACAACAAATACATCATCCATCTGGAATATTATGGAGTATTGTGTGACGTAAAGTTCTCACAAGTAGTTTTCATTTTTCTTACATCTATTAACGTTGCAAATGAGATGTTAATAGGAACCGTATAAGTTTTGAGTTCGGGAATACTTCCACCCAATACTGAGTCTTATTTCTACATTCGCAACTAAAAATGGTTTGTGAATTTGTTTTGTTTCGGGAAGGATTTGGAATGACTGAGTTCAAAATTAGTTAGAATTCTTTTATTAGCAACTTAATCAAATCTGAATGGGTGTAATAGAAATATTAACGCCTGACAGGAAATACGAGCTTTTAAATTTTTTTAAATTATTTTTCAATATACATAAATATCCCTTAACACAGTCGTTGTAGCAATGCTCTAACTAGTCTTACTACTCTCTAATAATAATGCATAGTGGTCAAATGCTTTAATATATTAATTTATAGCAAAACAGACCGTTGATATACTTTTTAGATATTTTTGTCAATACTAACAGTTTTTGGATGTCCAAAATGGACTTCATCAGCTTTTTCCTTTAAAAACAAGATGTTTTTAATGCATATTTTCAATGTTTTTGTCAGTGCTGGTAGTTATTGGATGTCCAAGATGGTCTTCATGAGAATTTTTCTAACAGAACGTTGATATACTTTTCTGATAAATTTGAACGATCAAAATGTTCTTCTTCAGTTTTGTCCCTTACTAAAGAAGACGTTTTAGATGAACTATTTCGATGTTTTTATCTGTACAATTTTTGAACATCGAAATCTGTGTTAACGACTTACTTACCTTTGTTTTACTACTTCAGATTTAAATTGGAACTGCGTGATGTTTTTTTTATATTGAATACAAAAATTGCGATCGATAAAAAGAATTATTAAAAATAATTTTAACGATAAAAATCGAAAAAATATTTCCGCTGAGAAGAATCTGCTTCATCTTTCCGCTAAGATATTTCTTCACGCCATGAAGCATATGTACGGTTCTAATATGAAAGATTTCGCTAGTGTAGTTTGAATAGCTATAAGTGCAGTGAAGTGCATTTCTTTGATTAAAGTCGTCTTCTGTTCTCTATTGAGCTCTAGCCCGCACTGAGACTTTTTAATTCAGGCAAATGTAGATCTAATAATATATTATGTAGATATTATGTAAAAATTTAATAAGCATAATAATATAAATATAAGAATTGTTTTTGTTTAAGTTCGAAATATATTTTAATTTATCAAAATATCCCTCGGCAATATTTTATGGCATTTTGTGCAAACAAATCATTGCATCGAACAGCAAGGTAAATAGGCTGTTTGTTATATTCATTTTCCATTACATTAATATTAAAAATTATTTACATACACGCAAACAATTACTGTATACTTTCATCTATATTTACAATTTTCCTCAATACCTAAATACCCAAAAGATAAAGTTACGCTATTTAACATAAACGGAGGTCAGTGCAATGAATGGGTATTTACGACATTGACATTGGCTCGAATAAAATGTACAGATTACAATACATTACCTTTGGGATTGAAATTATAGGCATGGACAGGTTTGCTCAATAATGCAGTGTACAGCAAATGGGCTGGGCATTCGATCGTTTAAATACGTAGTCTAGTTTTATATTATGAAAATTAATATTTGCAATTTAAAAATGCTTATGGTCATTTTTATTTTGTTTACAGTTGTTTAAAGTTCAGGGCAAACGATGATTTAAAGGTACAAAATTCTGCTATTCGTAACAATAGCAAACTACATGGAAACATTAATGATGGGGGCGCTTCACTAAGGCCGTTTTATATTGAAAGATTCTACAAACCACGGTTACTTTAATTTCCATCTACACTGCACCTTCCTGTATGCAACTTAAAAATTGTCAATCCAACAAACACTAAACGTTTTCACACAACTAAGTGGGCAATTATGGATCGCAGTAAGAATAACAGCACCGAATTTGGCAACAACTCGATGAAAGCTGCTGCAGTTCCTACTACAAATAATACAACGGCACCATGGACGAATAACAAGGAGTCATCGACAAATAATGAGGATGATTCTAATGAAGATGATGCTGATACTTCAACGCCAGCTAAAGTAACAGACCCACTAGCGCCGAAACTAAATAATGAGGTAAATATATTCTGCAATTGCAATAAAATAAAGCAAATTCTTTGCTAGAAATCAAAATATCCTTAATATTGTAATAACCGATAACCGACTTACGAATCACTCATAAACTAAAATAAGTGCAACACAATTTTTAATCGTCTCAAATAACACAATATTTTAATGGGAAACTTTATTTTAATTTCCTGTTTACGTACTTCTTTTTAGCGCGTTATGGTCGTCTCCGTTACGGAACGACGTCGCGAAACCTGGGGTCAAAAAGCGGAATTCCTGTTGGCCGTTGTTGGTTTCGCCGTTGACTTGGGGAATGTGTGGCGTTTTCCTTATATTTGCTATCAGAACGGAGGTGGTGCATTTTTGATACCTTATTGCGTTATGTTGATATTTGGAGGATTGCCTTTGTTTTACATGGAACTGGCCTTAGGACAGTTTCACAGATGTGGCTGTTTAAGCATTTGGAAGCGTATATGCCCAGCATTGAAAGGTAAGTCAATGTTTGTATAATTCAGTTACATATAAAAAATAACAATTCAACTTATAAATAACGTCTAGACGTACATGAGTAACATATGGTTAGTTGTGCATTATTATAAGATGTATCCAATGATTTCTTTTTTTTTACTTTATTTTTATCTAATATATTTATGATGCATAAAAAAATTCAAAATCAAACAGAAAACTTGTTGATTTTGCATTTTACTTAATCAAGAATATTTCTCAGGTGGTTGTTACACTTTATGATTAAAATTTTGAAATGTACAACAAAGAAAGATGAGTGAAGAATGATGATTCCTGTAGTCTCTTCTATTTACAATAGAATTTTTTCCCGCGTGACTTTTCTTTGATTCACAAATTGGTTCAATTGTTGCTGTATTTACACTTGGGTTTGTGTTATCTTTCCTTATGATGCCAATCAAAGTGATGAAAAATTCTTTTTGTTTTTGTTTATTTCATATTTTTTTAATAAAAATGTATTATCCGATATGCAGGTAAGCCATGGAGAAAGGTGACAATACACTTTTTATCACGCCAAGAACTTCAGTCACATTTTCTTCTGCTGAAACTTTAACTCATTTTTGGCTGAAGTTTGTTTTAAAGGAAAAAGAAAAGTGCTTAGCATATCCTATATAGTTTGCTCTTATTTATTTAGTTCTTTCAGTTTTTCTATCTTCATGAATGGAAATCATTGCAACTTCTTTACTGCAATTTCTAATAAAAGTTGACTGTGCAAACAATGAAAGCAAATGCCACAAAGTGAGATTTTACGTACTCTAACTGACATAATCCTTTTTCATTCGACATAAAAAGTACCTCTATTTGCATTTACGACTTACTAACAGTTTTTGTATCAAAGTAAGTGTTATTAATTTTTTAAATTATTAAATTACTCAGCTACTTCAACAATTGAATTGTTTCACTATAAAAAAATATTCAAGCCATAATAAAGATAAAATAATTAAATATACTGCAAAGTTTAACAACATTAAATGAAAACAGTTTTGTAATTGCAAAATACGATTATTATAATACGAGCATATAGTACATATACTAAGGTTGTAATACGAGTATATAATAAATTGCTCTTAAGTCTTAAGTTTCGAATAATTGTAATTTCTAATCAAATCTTAAAGGCGTAGCCAAGGGTTGCATATGGAGCGGTGCATTTCACCCTCTTGAGCTGTATCTAGAATTATGTTCCAAAATTGATAGAAGGCCAAAAATAACACACAAAACTTGTTGTCTTCATTTTACCTGTCACACCTTCAGGCTGCGCTTATCACATAATTATTAATATATTTATATATGTAGTCAACATTTCACTTATTTGGTTTCTCAACTACCCATATTGCTTTAATAACTATACAATATTTGAATCATTTATGTTTTATCTAGAGAATCAACATTTGAAAAGTTTAAAGAAGGGGTTATCCATATCGCATTCCTGATATAGCAGTACTGTGTTAGTAACATAACCACTGTACGTGTTAAAATTCTGAAAACTGACTACAAAAATAGTGATTTAATAGCAGATACATTCTGCATCGAGTTTATTTTAGTGATGAGTTTCGTTTCTAGCGTGGACGATAAATCAATAAACAAAGGTATTACCCGTTTGCTTCAAAACGTTTTAAAGTTAGAGGCAATCTATATATTAAGACAGCTTATCCTTAACGCCTCTTATAGTCAGTATAGATATTTTATTTCTGTCAATTTTTAGTCCAGCTAACCAAATAAAATGAAAGCTTTATTAATATTTATCTCTAGGTTATATCTATGTCAATACTTAAATACTTATTTGTACTTATTTAAATTATTATAATATAAGCTCAGTGTATGTTGTACAGATATCAAAAAGTACTTATTATCATACAGCTTAGGGCATATAAATCAATATCTTTTAATATTCGTTCATTTAAGATTATAGGCAATAAAAACGTAGGCCGCAAATCACAAATTTCACTTGTAAAATATATTTACTCCGCTTGTTGGAGTGATAGCCTTGCTTGAATATCAGAGCCAAACATTTGGGTTTGATGAAATCGAATTAATCTGTAGGCATTAAAATAAATACATATGTCATCCATTATATTTGCATAAGATTAACAAAAGTAAATAAATAACATATATCAAAGAAAAAATTAATTGGCATATTACATTGCCATAAGTTAAAAGTTCATAAAAAGAGTAATTGCTGCCAGCTAAAAATTATTTTCCAAATGAAAATACTTAATATTACTTAATGTGTAAAATTTATTGATGACGATTTGAGTAAATATCTATGAAAAAATCAAATAAATTTGTATGAAAATAATCATATATTTGATTGACACAATAAAACTATTTACTTGCTAATATGTAATTTTTTATTATATTAATATTTGAAATTAGTAAAAAAATTAAACAAACAGAATAGTATTGAAATTGAACAATTAAAATAAAAATATGATTAAATAATTCAATTATTATTACAGCAAGTGAATTTCAGTTGGTTAAGGTGCGCTGACTCTGAGTTTCAAATTAGGCGGGGTACGAGTTCGATTACTGGTATTTGCAGTCTCAAAAAAAAAAAATTATTTACGAATAATTAAATATAAGAATTATTTCCAAAACCGCTGGTAATGGGTATTTGGCAATACTCGAAACAGCCAAAAACTCAGTTAATTAAAATAATATAAAAAAGAATTTTTGCTGTTGTATTTTACAAATGTTTGAAAAACCTGTTTGTAAAAAAATTATTATTTTAAAGATATGATGACACATTGTAATATCTTCATTATTGATATATTCATTGTATGACTTTCAATTATTGTATTATTATCTATATTAAGAATAATACTTACTTTAAACTTAGCAATGGACGTACTTGTTGTGCTTTTTATAGCATGATTCTGATAGTACTTTCTCTACTATCCTGAATAAAATAATCAACAATAACATTCCTCCGGTACATACTCCTAACGTCTGTAAACCAAAATGCATTAACCTAGCTCAAATGTAATGGGTGTAATCTATATATGTTTTATAAAGAAGCAGATGTATGCTATAGTTCAAAATAGTCCTCTTTTTTGGGTGTTACATACTCTCCACAAGCGCTCTGTTATTTACATGACTGAATAGTAAAGAAAAGTATGGTAGATGCAGTATTTTAGTGTGAAATTACATCATCTAAGTATTGTTTATTTAATAAGATACGACTGGTGTCCAGGCATATAACATATTTTAGTATAATAAAAGAAATAAATGTTGCTTCATATAATGCTCTATATGGTCTCATGATATATTTCTGTTTTAGAAGAAGGGTCTACCGTTATTTGCAACTTGATGAAATTTTTTTGAATTTATTACTTGTTTTTTATTTATTAATTACTAATAACAGATACTCTTAAATTCTGATTGACTGCTATGTTTATGACGTTATCTCAAAGCTAATGAATTCGCTAACTAAATTGAAGTTTCATTTACATAATTTTCCTACTCTATTAAAGTCAATTATTTGTGTACTTCTATCTTATAACGATATCTTATGATATTATAGAATTTGAAATATTTCAATGAATTCAAATTCAGTTGCATTGAAAACAAACAATGTTATCATTTGTAACAATTTAATTTCATAATTTTATTTGGGGCTGAATGAAAAGTTCCCCATTCAAGTTATATGCTTTGAGAACAAAACCAAAGTCTAACAACTGTAAGAGCAACCAAATTCAACAGTTGAAATCTATGTAAAATTTGTATCTATTATCCTGTCAGAAAATTTTATTACGAGTATCTCCAGTTGGGCGTACACATATTAACATACCCACAAACCATTAAGCCAAGCTGAGATTGAACAGGCATGTAAGGCAATATTTTGAATAAAAGCTGTAAATGACATTTTGCAAGTATCTAAAATCTTCTTGAACTTGCAATGCAGGCCACGAGAAACTTTTTTGATAAACTTCTAATTTTTCTAATTGCATTAACTCTGCTTTATAAATTTCATATATGTTGAATGTATCTGTCCTTAAAAATTGATATCCGTAAATATTGTTTAAAATTTTGGTTAACATAACTTTTATGAAAATCGGGTTTAGGTGTTCCACAGATGGCGTTGACAGTTACATGGTTAAATGGTTGTAAAATTTATATTATTGAGACAAAATACTCGTTAAACATTCACTTCTAATATGTAATAAAAACTTATTAGTTAAATAAATTTGAAGTAAATACCTTGTGCATATGTTATATATTTAGATAGAATGTTTTGTTTTCATATCAACAGGTGTTGGATATGCTATTTGTTTAATTGACATTTACATGGGCATGTACTATAATACGATTATCGGCTGGGCAGTTTACTATCTATTTGCATCGTTTACATCTAAACTGCCATGGACGTCATGTGATAATACGTGGAACACCAACAGTTGCATGCCAGTTACAAATGAGAACTTCACCGAATTAGCCACATCGCCTGCAAAGGAGTTCTTTGAGTAAGTATCAATGCTTGTATTCTCCATTGAAAATGTATGTAAATATCCGCACACGTGAGTATACTATACCCTCATAAACTGGTGTAAATTTATGTGCATTGGATTTAACACTTGACGAGCTCAAGTGTTTATTTGGCTGCTTTAAATGGACATTTTAATGGATGAAACACAATAATTCAATTTGTTTGATTTGTTTGTGATTCTTGCAATATCCTTTCTTTTAAACAATTCTGTTGTCTGCCAAAGCAATATTTGTTTTTCTATTTCTATTTGGTCAACTATTAAATTTTCTTTTACAGACGTAAGGTACTCGAGCAGTATAAATCTGATGGTTTGGATTTCATGGGACCTGTTAAACCAACATTAGCACTATGTGTATTCGGCGTATTCATTTTAGTATATTTTTCATTATGGAAGGGTGTTCGCAGCGCTGGAAAGGTGGTGTGGGTAACTGCTCTGGCACCCTATGTTGTGCTCATTATATTATTGGTGCGAGGTGTTTCACTTCCTGGTGCAGCTGAGGGCATTAAATATTACTTAACACCAGAATGGCATAAACTTAAGAATTCAAAGGTAATTATAATTAATTAATTACAATTAATTTTCAAAAATAATCTTTTATTATGAATTATGCTATTAAATTGTTAATTTTTATTTTAAAATTTTTACCTCACTTTACCTTAACCCGCTTTTCTGCAATCGAAACCAATTTACTGATTCACTATTGGCATTTTTAACCGCAACTGAGTCAACTAACTCAGACGCATAACAGTTGGAAGCGATTGAGTCATGATTTTACTGATTATACCAGTACAAATCATATATACTGATTTGTACTCATATATGTTTGCCTACGTACCTACTCACTCTCATAAAAAACTTTAGCAAATAATTTATGATAGGCATTTCATTGGGATTGATTTGATAAAGTCAAGTATGTAAACTTGATTCAAATACGTTTATTACAATGAATCTTTTGATGAAGTTCATTTAGTTAGTTCAAGTGCAATGTACTGATTTCCGTAGTTTATGTACTAAAACAATCCTAAAAATAATGTAGCTATGAGCTCCAAACCCTTAAAGTGTTTATATAACGAGTATTTTTTTAGTTACATGAGGATGTAAAGTGACAATACAAGACAGAAATATAGGAATAGGAATAAACGGGGTACCAGCTCCAACGGAGTAGAGCACTGCGACAATGATTGATCTTTTATGCTGCAACAGACCCTAACCGAACAGAAGACATTCCGCCTTCCGAATGAAAGGCAGAGTGTCGGCCGTTGAGTACCTCCTAATGTCAGAAGGGGAGAGTAGTTGTCGACCCAGTGACTTCTTCCTGATCCAGACCGAGGCTTGTAAATAATTTCATGGCATTTATTTTTCAAAAATCAGCTAATCAGCAGGTAATATCTTCCGCATCTAAGAGTTACATGCTCTATTTGATCTATTTTGATTATTTTTTCCAATAAATATGGCCGTGTGGACTCAATAGCGGCTCAATGGTGGAATAGTTAGTTGCTAGTTTGTAGGCATAAACCAATGACTTAACGTAGCCTCAGAAAAAGTAATCTAGAAACGTTAAATAGCACGAACAAGGGGGCTAATTAACAGGACTACATCTAGAAATAAGGTTGTTACCAGGTTGTAATAAATAGATTGTTATGCGCGCGGTATAGCAAGTTGCGCCATCTTGTTAGAACCAAATGTCATCGATGTTTAACTGATTAATTTTAGGAAACAAAAATTCGAAAGAAATAGGGACCAGCATGTAAACCCCACCAAACAGTCAATTTTAATGGAAGTTATTGTGATTCCTTAAAGGCTTGAGGATTATCTTCGCTTCATGTACGGCAATTTTGCTTATTGACGTAACCATTTAACTAGAAATAAACTTTATCACTAAACATGATGCACTCTATGAACTTCGCGAACAGATTTATTTTTTTCAAAGTATATTTCCAGGTTTTTCTAGTGTTAAATGTGTAATGAGAAGAAATGTCAACACAGTTTGACATTCTCAGTTATCAAACCGTAATTATCGATATCGATAGTTCACATGCAGCTAAAAAAACAATCGATATTTCTTTCATAGATGGTTTATAGATAGGTAGATTACTATTCCGTAAAAAATGTAGGTTTATCGATTATTTTATTGCTAGATATTCCGGAGAGAGTGAATATCCGGCTTCCGGAGAGTGAAACACTGCGACCATGATTGATGTAAAGATTCTTATATTTTTAGAATGACAACCAAGTAAAGATTCTGGATCTTCAAAATGTTCTTATTTACTTAAAATGGGAATTGTTTGGCTTGTGTCCTTCAGATCAACGTCGAACAATCACTGAGAATGTGATTAGAGCTCTCATCCGCTTCTAAGCAGAGACTAGATTCTGTCTCCTCAGACAGATCCATCGCATTAAGGTAGTTTTAGAATGTATATGTTATCAGTTGTACTTGACGTATTTAAACCATTGACTTGTTTTCGCATCATGTCTTTGAGCGAAATTTGACCATTGCACAATGCAGTGGTACTTATACTGTGAGAATGATACGATATTATTATTAAACGCAATATATAATATTGATACAATTTCAAATCTTTTATTTATGTAAATTTTCTAATTTATATTATACATATGAAGAAAAAAGAAAGCAACAATCGTAGATAATTAAAGTAACACTTAATTTTCTTTGTAATGTGCTTAAAAATATTAGATTAATACCGTTTCTGAAGGTCCACTAAGGCCTATTGACCCATTGTGTAATAAAAATATTAACTAAAAATAATTTACTTTAAATAAGATTTTCTCATTGCAATACATAAACTTTTACAGGTCTGGATAGATGCTGCTTCACAAATATTTTTCTCATTGGGGCCAGGATTTGGTACATTACTTGCGCTCTCCAGTTACAATAAATTCAATAATAATTGCTATCGTGATGCTGTGATAACGAGTAGCATCAACTGTTTAACTAGTTTTCTGGCAGGATTTGTAATATTTTCAGTATTAGGGTAAGCGTTAAGAATTCTCTTCGGACATTGTGAAAGGTTTTAACAAATCCATAATAATTATAGTTATATGGCTCATGTGCAGAAAACATCAATTGATCAGGTCGGATTGGAGGGACCTGGATTAGTATTTATCGTATATCCAGAAGCTATAGCAACAATGAGTGGCTCAGTTTTTTGGTCCATAATATTCTTCTTAATGTTAATAACACTGGGGTTGGATAGCACTTTTGGTGGTTTGGAAGCTATGATAACTGCTTTATGTGATGAATACCCCCGTGCCATTGGTCGAAGGCGTGAACTCTTTGTGCTACTACTGCTCGCTGGCATATATTTATGTGCATTACCAACAATGACATATGTAAGTAAACATTTACTTTTTATATTATTAAAATCTATTAAAGTCGTATTAAAATATAACTAATTATTACGATAACATGGAGAATTTATTTTTTACAAAAATTTTTTTATATTATATTTATTATTATGTTGAGTCAGTGCACCTGAGCACTTTTACTCTCTATTAACTGCGAGGTTTCTTCAAAACCCCTCTTTGCATCTTGACTAGATTATTGTTTATCACTTCATCAGATTAAGCAATAATTGACCTCAGATCTGCGGTGTTGGTAAGTCTGTCAGATTTCGCAAATAATTTCAGGGCTCTATCCTTTATGTATTTTTTGATGGGATCAATCTTGATGACCCTGAGGAAGTCATTCGTCCTAATGTACCATGAAAAATATAAACGACTAATTTTAATTTTTTTAAATTTTTATTATAACAATTTATTGAATTTATTTAAGAATCACTTTTAAATACGACAATCGATATGTATATGAAGTACTTAATATTAGAAGTAATGCACTAATAAAATTCTTTGCTATTTTGTGCAAAAACTCCTTTAATAAACGCAGCATCATTACTTTAAATAGAACTTGACCAAATTAAACAAAAAGTGTTGTTACTCCAGTCCTGCATATTAAAACTCCATCAATTACGGCGCCATCAAGGTTTGTTTCATCTATTATGTTAAAAGCTACTCCATGTTGAAATTGATGTGCAGCCTCTTCTATGGATTGTTCTTGCTTTGATTGTTATGTACATACGCTATGGTTTTGTGGAAGAATTGTTTACTGTTTAACTCATGAGTGCATAAATTTCCATCGAACTGATTGTGTTCAAGTCAAATAGCAAAATTTTGCAAATTCATTCAACACATTCCCATCACTACAGCAGCTTCAGTATCTTAAAGCATTTATCTCTTAGCTAATATATCTTCGCGGCATAGCGGTATATGTGGCACAACTTGTGAAGGAAGAAGATGCGCTAGATTTCGATATATGACCGCTGTCCTACCAACATTTATTTACACACTCGTAAATTAAACTCATTTCTTGCACTTGCTCTGCTTGACTGCCCGACATGCTTGAAAACCTCTCAAGCAACTGTCAATGGGTCATTAAAGCAACTGGTACGTCCGGTGGTCGCTACTGATTTGTTATGTGTTTACACTACGCACCTTGGAAGCATTTTTCACTATAGAAATGCATTAGCACAATGTTTGTTATCACTTTCTTTGATTAAATTAGAAATTATAATTTTGTTTGCTTTCGACTCTTGATGTTCGGTAGTTAAGGTAATACACCAACCCATTAAATACACATTTTTAACAGCACCTTATTTAGAAGTATATTTGGATCTATATATATTTATTAAAAAGTTTTTGGGTATTAGTGTTGATAGTAGGGCAGACAAAATTATTCATTTAAATTAACTTGAATAAAAAATGTAAGATCTCTTAAGGCATATCAGTTGATGGACAGAGTAATACTCGTACTCTTCTTAGAATTTTATATTTATAATCTCATGTTTTCACTTTATATTAAGAACAGAACAACTTTGCATCGAACTCATAATTTTTGCAATTTTAACTATTGTATGTACTAAAAGGAGAACGACTATTAATTTACTGATATTTAAACTTAAACCTCAGTTTTTGGATTGGAGTAGCCAATTAAGGATGTTCTCACTCTATTTTAATAAAACGTTTTGGTACGATCCTGACAGAAGATCAGGAATATCTCATAATAGTGATAAGGCAACGGGCCAATAAGGTAATGGATTCCCCTCAACAACTGAGGTGAACCTCTGTAGGACCACATTCTATAAGACATATCTCTAACTGGTATCACTAACGATTAAGAGATTGCTACCAAACTACACTTACTAACTTACTTAGTTTAACTGAATTAATTATCCCCCAAACTTCTCTTTAAACACTTATTATTGCTTTGAACAAAAAGTACATAAAAAATATTGAAATTTGGTTTGTTACTATATAAAGATATATAGTAAAATATATCTGTGTATACTATATATAAAAAATTTGTAATTTATTATTATTATAACATCAATCAACAACACAACAACTTTTTAGACTTACGGTTCGTTGCGATACTTTTGAGGGATTATTGCATTCTCCTCATGTAGTATAAATGATAGATATATAAAGAAACGTAATATTCAAAATATTAAAAATTTTATAGTTAACTCTTTAAATAAAACTTTTTAATATTATAAAGTAAAACATAAATTAATTTCTAGGGTGGTGTGTTTTTGGTTAACTTCCTCAACGTCTACGGTCCTGGCCTGGCTATACTCTTTGTGGTTTTCGTGGAAGCAGCTGGCGTTTTTTGGTTTTACGGAGTTGATCGTTTCTCATCTGATGTTGAACAAATGTTGGGCGCTAGGCCAGGAATATTTTGGCGAATATGCTGGACATATATTAGCCCAGTATTTTTATTGGTAAGTTATTTTTTATATAATGGCATTTTATATTTTTATTATAAAAGAGTTTATAATAGTTTATAACTTTATAAAAAAACATGACAACCTTATTTTCAACATATTAGTACACTATATGTTACTAAGTAATACAGAGAAATTTTGATTCCAGATACCTTATTAAATCCATACCCCTATAGTAGCTTCATTCCACTATAGCAGTATTTATGTCATATTCAAATCACATATATAAAGGTAACTTTTGACGCTTATTCTTCAAACTTTAGTGAGGGAGTATATTTTATTTTTTTTTTTATCAAACTGCTCTTGTGGTCCAAAGATTGTAAATACATACATAGTTTCGATGTGTCCACTGGAAATACTTCACTTTTATAAATCAATGCTATCAAAAAAGCATTTGACAACTTAAACCGACTATACATTTGGGCAGCACTCTCCAAAAGAGGTATGTCAGAAAAAATTATAAACCTTCTGAAGGAGCTGTAAAAGAATACTAAATACCGCGTGATCCACAAAAGCCAGATCTCTGAATCTCTTGATATCAAAACAGGTGTGGGACAAGGATGTATACTGTCACCATTACTTTTCAATCTTACGATACATGATATCCTCAGCAGATCATTAAAAAATACCAGAGGTATCCAATGGGAACTGTTAGAGTATCTACAAGATCTAGAACATCTGCTGAATCAAACCACTCAGAAAGCAACACAAAATAAGATAAAAATGAGAAAGTGAAAGTGGATAGAACGCCCTTACACAACCAAGAGATTACATGACGAGGCAAGTGCTGGCATGTAATCCACAAGACAGCAGAAGACCTGGTGCATCAGCGAAAAAGTGGAGAAGAACAGTCGAAAGTGAACTAAAGCACGATATATATGAAACGACATCTACAGAGAAGCACAAAATAGAGTTGGATTTAGAAGAATTATTAAAGATCTATGCCCCACTTTGGGAAGTGGACAATAGTAGTAGTAGTATAAATCTTTGTTATAATTGATTATGACGTCGTAATCAGTGGAAACTACCATATTCTACACATCTTCGTTTTCAATCGTAATTAAAGCTTTGATTATACTGGTTTGACATCGCCCAGTTTGACTTCTTCTGTGCTCTAAACTAATGTCATCAAAGCGAGAAAGACATTTACAGTTGATTGCGACTAAAAAGGAAATTTACTGAAAAAATTAAAAGTTATATTTTAATCAGTCCAAGAAAAAGGAAAGAAGCATGACGTGATCAAGCGCGACATAGTTATATTTCATCGAATCTGGTCTATTTTGTAGACTTGGTATATTTGATTTCAATAAGACATAAATATGGCATAAAATTTTAGCTAATCACTTTATAAATACTTTTATAAACTCTTTTGGATTGTCATTTAAATTTTATCAAACAAATCTAACCTTTTTATTTATTTGGATTTTTTACACAAACAATGTTTTCAATACCTTTAATCATGTTTTGCTATTTTATATACCAAAAGAATAATTTTTATAATAAGAATTTTAAATTTTGTATCTCATTTTTAACTCAATAGGCCATTTTCATATTTTCTTTCCTTGGTTACGAGGACATGCTGGGTGAGGAGTACAAATATCCTGAGTGGAGTATTAAAGTTGGATGGGCTGTAACAGCTTCTTCAGTGCTATGTATACCGATGTATATAATATACAAATTTGTTTTTGCGTCCAAAGGCGGCCTTCGTAGACGCCTACATGAGACATTTAAGCCAGAAGATATAAATTGTGGGTCAGTGTTACCAGGTTATGGTACTTCAGTGTGACATGATCAAATCATAAAATCTCAAACAAAAACTTCCGTTGATAGCAGTAGCACTTCACAACAGAATTCCAACTACAAAAGCAACAACAAACTATTGGAATACAATAATTATTCACCAACAACATATAATAACATTGTAGATTTAAATGGTTACTACGCCTACTACACAAATTTAAACATTTATACTACAAATAAGAAACCGCAGCAGAATCGTAATGATATTATTGAGGAACCTAATACGAATAGCTTTAGTTATTTTAGCAATGTTAATGATAAACTTAATGAATATGATACTATTAGTCATGGTACTTGTCTTTGTAATACTCGTAATCGTAGTTGTAATTTTAAATGTAATTCTAATTGTAAAAATAATTATAAAAGCAATTGTAATTGTAATGAAACAGATACTGATGCTAATGCTGGTACTTGCAGCTTTAGTGGCTCCGATGCCAAAATAACAAAAATTTGTAAATTAGACTTAGAAAATTTTGCTGCTGAGGACAATAATTACACAATGATACTCAGCAGTTCTAAACCGCTTAAGTTCTCATTTGCTAGTGAATGGTTAGTTTAAGATATAGCGTAAGTGAATTGCTAAAGTACCTTGTACTCCCAAAAATCTATAGTTAATCTATCTGCCTTTTTACCATGTTTCTACATGTTTTCATGTTAAAGTTTATGTGTTGTTAAAAGTTTAAATTGAATTGTTTTTACCAAAGTATGATAACAAAAATTAATTGTGACTTACATATATTATACAAAAGTCCGCTCAAAAAATCTAACAAAACAGCCATTTGATAGATTTTTTAATTGTTAAAATGTAATTAAATTATTTTATAAAAACATTGATTATAACATTATTAGAATATAATGATGCTTTTGTAGTATTTCTATTTATAAATTTCTGCCAATAAGGTATAAATTTAATATAACTCTTCCTCTTAGTGATAGCCGCCATATTTTATATATTAAATAATAAATATAGTGCATAATAGATTTCATATCCTTGTCAAAACTAATGTTTATATATGTGGAAATAATTATAAGCATGAATATATAATTGCTTGAGTTTCATTTGAGAACTAATAAAATTTTATATACAAAATTTAATTATTATAACTTAAATTATTTATAGTTTTTTGTAATTACATTTTATTACAAACAATACTTGAGATAATTTATACTATTTAAAAATCCCTGTACAATGTTAATATTAGTTTTAATATCATTACTTATATAATACTAAATTAAAATAATTATAATAACGGATATATTTGTAAGAATTTTTTATTTTCGAAAACAAAAAACATTTGCAGAACAGCCATTTGCAATTGTTTTTAATAGATTTTGATAATTTAATTATATTTAGTTAAATATAATTTTTATAAAACTAAAAGTATTTGTTTTTTAATCAAACTTGTTTCTGTAAAAAATATTTTATATATAGCAATAATTAAAAGCATATCCTTTTAAAGGGATATGCCTATTAACAAATTGAACTTCTCACAGTTTTACAAGCACAAATTCAACTGGTGACTTGAAAATACAGTGCTATTCAAACTCTTATATCAATACTCGCCTTTTTAAATTATAGTTCGATTTAAATCATAATACTCTGCTTTAGTGCAATGTTAGCAATATATACATATTTTTATATTTGCATCAACTTACCGAGTTTCGTTTTTAACACGCTACCTGATTTATATGCGGTTATATATATTACTGAAAATATTATATTGAAAATTATTATTGATATATAGAAGCCTTATAATTTTTTAATTAAATTATATTTATATTTATTCTTTCGTATTACACAGCGACCATCTATAACTAAAATATTTTTAAATAAAAATAGAAATGTATATGATTCTTCTTTATTTAATCATATACTGTCTGAACTAATTTAATGACACCTATATGGAATATCATTATACGAGAGACGAAGGTTTTTATTTAATGTTTGAACTCAATAATTAGTGCTTTTTTGAAATTGAAAAGTAAATAAATGTTTTCCAAAAGTTTTATACTGTAAGAGTAGCCGACAAGCATGTAAGGACCCCTGAGTAAAAAAGTTTAAAACTAATGTATGTATCTTTAAGAAAATGAGATAATTACGATATATCAGTAACTCAGGTTCTCAATTCATCTGCATATAAATAATTATGTGTGTTGTATGAATGTATTTTACGTTTTCATAAAAACTGCAATGATCTGTACATTTTATTAGGTATTTTACAAATGCAGCAAAATTAAAGGTACTGCAAAATATAGTACTCAAAATATACCAATATCATCAACTACCCCTTTTCCCATTTATTAGTCTTCTATAGTGATTTAACAGAAATTAATTAATTAAAAAAATTGCACAGTTTTACAATTATTAATTTCATTGTCATATGTTGCGTTACAGTGCATGTGAAATATTAATCGTAAAAGTTTTATAGCTATTGACTGCAGCTGAACAGACCGTATAACAAAGACCGTATACAAAAAAGGCAGTGACGGTTGAATATTTTTTGAATATTAATATAAAAAATGTTTTCATTACATATGCAATAATTTAAATATTTACTTTGTTTTTAAGAATAAATTTTAAACATACTTATTTTAAATATTCTTCAATGTTCAGTAAAATACATTTATATGCATAACATTTCTAGCAGTTTTCAACATTTATTGATATCCCTAAGACTATAAAATTTTATTAAAAAATTAGCTGAAATTATTAAATAACCCAATAATTTCAACAATCTGCACTGAGTACAGTATAAATTTGCAAGCGTTTAATACAATTCTCCCTAGGTTTTATGTAGGCTGATTTAGGTATGACCTTTAGGTCCTTTAGCGAACTTACTTCTATTGCTCATTGGCCTATCACATGCGTCGTTTTCTAAATTACTTAAAAACCAATTTCCAACATTTTTATGTGAATGTATTGAAAGATTTAAAGTTTTTGACATTTACTTTATAATTTTATAATTATAATAAGTCAAAAACCTATCATCTAAACGATCAATCATTGACTTCAGATTGTAGTAAGTTTGTTAATTTTAGAAGTTCCTTTGAGAATTTTTGTGGAATTCAATGATATGCTACAGTAATTAGCAAGCAATAACATGGTGGTGGGTTGCTGGGCGTCTGCTCACATAGGAGTCCATGGCAATACGTCCACAAACAATCACACATAGACTAGATCAACCAATTTTGTACACCGAAGCCTTATTGTGGAATATATTTGGTATATAACGAGGTCAAAATAATTTGGAGAAGTGGTTAGTAGAATTGAGCTGATGGTCTGCGTTATCGCCTTAAAAAGACATGTCTGTCTAAGTTAACAGGATGTCGACTCTACTTGGAGGCAGATTCTAGTCACATTCTTTGACTATGCGGCCTTAAATATAGCTAAGACGATATAAATGACCCGGGATCTTCTATCCTCTTTAGTTGTTAAGATGTCCTCAACAACTGACATTTTGATCTACATTCAAAATGCAGGGAATCCTCTGCTCTGTAAGGGTCGAATAGCAGCACAAACGAGCACTCATAGTCGCAGTTATCTTATTGCTGGAAGTTAATTCGGTTGTATATATATTATTCTATTATTCATTGTATAGATAGATATTCACATAGTAACATATTAAAAATATTGTAAAAGGTGACTATTTTTTATATCATATGAATCATTCATTATTCGTTTCACATATTAACTTTAAAATTACAAATTAAATAAATGTAGCATATTAACACTGCCTATACTAGCTATACTCGCTGTCTTTAACTTTTTGATCTATGATTAAAATACTTTCCAAGATATCCAGATGTACAAATACATATATATGAAAATTTAAATATTATAATATGTTATGTTAGTTAATACCGGTCATCCTAAGGATCCGCTTAAGTGTATTGGCCCATAGTCGTACAGTATAAGAACTTAAAAGTTAATATTATATTAATTTCAAATGCAAACTTTGTGAATGAAAATTTTTGATATTTAGACCTTATTTTAATGCTACCGGAGCAGTCTCTAACTATGATTAGAATTTTATAGATTCCATAAAAAAAAATATTGCTATTACCGTTAACATTAATAAATAATTTTATACTTAAACATCTGTTTAAAAATTTTGTTTTTAATTTTCGAGTTGTTACGTCGAAATTATTTTAAAGTCGGCTTTATTTTTTTAAGAATATTAACTTTTTTTCGAGCCTTAATTTTCTGTATATTTCTATACGTATTTCGGCAAATTCGCTTTTGTCTTCATCAGGGGAATTTCTAATATGGTGTGCAAAACCCCTAATATTTTTTTCAAGATCCTGTAGTAGAAGAATGTTGTGTACATAATTTTACCATGACGAATTTACAGATAAAAAACAGGGACTAAACGATTTAAATTTTTCTTTGCTAAATTTTAATAATTATAAAAAAACAATTGAAAAGATTTTTTATCATATATATTTTATTATATTCAAAGCATTAATAATTTTGTACGTTAAAATAAGCAAATATAGGACTCAAAATAACAACTGTCTAACATGTACATATATTTTCGAAATAATATACATACATACATACCTGTTTATGCACAAAAATACTATTAAAATGCCGGATTGAAGATGAATGCAATATTGCAATAACAACAACAGGAACAGTAACGCGCCTAAACTCACGTCCTGATTTCAACAGTGGAAGATACAAATGCCGTAAATGCAATTGCAACAAAAAATACATACACACAAACCCTTAAAGGACTTTTAGAGTTTAATTCAGGTACAGTTCTTCCAGCAATTAGTGCTCGTCGTACTGCGTTCAAATGTGTCCTCACAGAAAGCCTAGTCTTTCCTTGCACCCTTTTGGTGCCAAATACAATTACGGTCGTTAATGCATATACAGAAATGAACTCTCACAGAAAGATTTTCATTGCCAGATCAGGAATACGTATTTGTGTGCTTTTGTGTACCTCAAATTTGTGTTGTACTGCATCGATTCCTCATATGCGTTTCCATCGCATC